AACATACCTGTGTAACCAGGTATTTTCTGAAGAAGCAGAAAATTATCAGAATCCCAGAAAACCCCACTCATATTCCCTTTTAATTACTAGCTGTACTGTTCCCCTTTCCCCACCAAGAATAACCTCTATCCTGACTTCTAATAGCATAAATTTGTTTTGCTTGTCTTTGTACTTTATATAAATGGGATCACACAGTATGTAAAAAATAGCCTTTTAGCAGATTCTTAGAGAGATCCCTCGATACATTGAGAACCACTGAGACACATGGAGAGAGAGCCAATGATTGACATGTTTGTCAGTAGTTATCCATCACAGTCTTGCTCTGGGAATAGGCGATCTGATGTTAGAAGAGAAATATTAACAGAAATAGGCCTAGAACAGGAGGAGCGATTCATCCAGCCACTGTGCTCTGCAGCCATGTGCTGTAAATCAGTTCCTGTTGTTCTGAGTCTCTGTTTCCCCTGCTATCGTCTGTCTGTAATTCGATTTCCTGAGAGACCAGGCCCAGAAAAAAAAAAAACACTAAGCCATAATTAGCCATATTTATCCCTCTCCATGAACCAACACCCCAGTGTTCGGGTTTTTACCTAGTCTTTCACAAGTGTGGCTTTGGGAGTCAGAGCCCCTGGAGTATGATCAACCCCAGATCGATAAGACTGGATCTAGATTTAGTTGCTAACAATTACTGAGCTAAGTTTACCATGATTTAGGGTCTATGTTAAGCACTTTAAATATGTTACATAATTTAAAAACAAACAAACCCATAGGAAGGTGGTTATTATTAAGATATTTTATAAATGAGGAAACAGAAGTTAAGCAACTTGCCTAAGATCATGCTCAGATCATACAGCTAGTCAGAGGGCACATACAGGTTCATTCACTTCTATTCTCTGAGTATTTAGCCACCAAACTATAGTATTCCGCAGAGCTCAAGATCAAAGTCTGCTTGTGACAGTGAGGATCAAATTGAGTAGTCAGCTGGATTCCTTATCCCTGCCATCATCTATCCGTCCATCCTTCCACCCATACATCCATCCATTCAACAATCTGTCCAATCAACCAACTATCCACCTGCTATAGTCTGAATGTTTGTGCCCCTCCAAAATTCAAATGTTGAAATCCGAACCCCCAAAGTGATGGTATTAGGAGGTGGGGCCTTTGGGAGGTGATTAGGCCATGAGGACAGGGCCCTCATGAATGAGATTAGTGCCCTTATAAAAGAGGCCCGGGGCCCCCCCATGGTATAGTGGTTGTGTTCAGCGCCCTACACTTCGGCAGCCTGGGGTTCGTGGGTTCGGTTCCTGGGTGCAGACCTACACCACTTGTCAAGCCATGCTGTGGCGGTGACCCACATACAAAATAGAGGAAGATTGGCACAGATGTTAGGGGCCGGCCTGGTGGCATAGCAGTTGAGTCCACGTGCTTCGCTTCGCCGGCCCGGCGTTCACAGGTTCAGATCCCAGGCGTGCACCTATGCACCGCTTATCAAGCCATGCTGTGGCAGCATTCCATATAAAGTAGAGGAAGATGGGCATAGATGTTAGCCCAGGGCCAATCTTCCTCAAAAAAAAAGAGGCCCCAGAGAGCTCCCTTGCCTGCTTCTGCCAGGTGAGTACACACCGAGAATTCTGCAACCTGGAAGAGGGCACTCACCCAAACATGCTGGCACCCTGATCTTGTACTTCGAGCCTCCAGAACTGTAAGAAATAAATTTCTGTTGTTTATAAGCCATGTAGTCTGTGGTATTTTGTCCTAGCAGCTTGAATGGACTAAAACATCATCCAGCCTTCCAACCATCCATCTAACCCTCCACCCATTCATTCAACCATCCAGCCAGCCACAAATACCACATGGCTATCCATTCCACAAATATCAAGGGCCTCTGTGCTGATTCTATGCCAAAAGGAGGCTGAATGCAGAGATGACTAGCATACCACAGCACATGTAAAAGCTAGGTTCCCACTAGATTTGGAACGCCCTGAGGGCAGAATCTCTTGTTTTTATATCTGTAGTACATAAAGTATGATTTGGCTCCTGTTTTCCTTTCCAACCTTATCTCACCTACTTATCTTCCTGCTCATTCTTCTTCAGCCACACTGGTCTCTTTCTGTTTCTGGAATAAGCCAAACCCTCTTTTCCCTCAGGACTTTAACAATTGCTTTCTTTTGATCCAAATGTTCATTCAGCAGTGTCAATACCTGGCTCCTTCTTATCCTTTGCATTTTAGCTAAAATGTCTTGTCCTCAAAGAGGCGTTTTCCGACCACCTTCTCTAAAGGAGACACGCTCTGCCTCTCTCTCAGCTGCTCCTGATCATCTCACTTTGTTTATCCCTTTTATGGCATTGCTCACAATCTGTAATCATCTTGTTTATTCATTGCTTATTTTCTAGCTCCCTCGCTAGAAAAATAAGCCCAGGAAGCCAGGTGCTAAGTCTTTCACATTCTTTCTGCATACCTTCTGCCTGCCTAGCCCAGTAATTGACATATAGTAGGCCTTCAATATTTATTTGTTGAATAAATGGATGAAAGATGCATGATCAGATCTTCCCAGTATTAGGAAGCTTGAAGAGTAGTAGAAAACAGACCTTGAAAGATGGAGTAGGAACAGAGAAGGCCTTGAAAGACAAGCAGAAGAGGGTACACTTAATGTGAATGTAGGGATCCAGTAGAAGCTCTTGAGTTGTAGGATGAAAATAGTGATTTAGAAAGGTGAATTGATATGCCACAATCTGCTATAAATCCTTAATTTAAACAATTCACTGCAGCATCTTGCAATGAATTACTGCAAGAGGTAATCAGGTTCTAAGACCTGAACCGTATTTTTCTCCCTGTGGAAGATTATACAATGTGGGCACTCAGTGTGGGTCTAGGAGTTTCATAGAACGACATGTTATGTTTAATTAACTGATTGTGGTGAACTATAGACAAAGTGATCTTGGTGAAAACTCTGTAAGGTGGGATCCATGTCTGTTTACTGCAGACATCTAGCCTGCAGGAGAACAAAAAATTATTTCTTCAATGAATGAGTGAGTGGAACAATCATGTACTTGGAAACAACTAAATTAGATACGATCTGCTGCTAGCTATCGGTGTAACCTTTAAGAAGATCTTTAACCTGGCTAAGGGTCAGTTTGCTCATCTGTAAAAGAGGGAGAAGACTTAACTTACAGGATTTTAAATGAAAGCTTATGGGAAAATCTCTGGCACAGAGTGGACACTCAGTAAATTCATTTTGTTCTGTTACTTTGGAGATGCTGAACCTGCCCTGACTGGTATTTCCTACTGGCCTTTTTCCAAAATCCCCATGGCCTGAAACAGAGCATATGGTGATATTTACTTTTTGCCACTTTTAGTCCTTTCAGTCTAAAACTGGAATTCTGACTCTGCAACTTACTAGCTGAGTGACCTTGGGCACCCTCTTTGTGCCTCAATTTCTTTATCTATAAAATGGGCATAATAACAGTACTCACCTCATAGGAGTATTGTAAGGATTAAAGTGTTTGCACTAGGGGGCCGGCCTCGTGGTTCAGCGGTTAAGTGCGCACGCTCCGCTGCTGGCGGCCCGGGTTCGGATCCTGGGCACGCACCGACACACTGCTTGTCAGGCCATGCTGTCGTGGTGTCCCATATAAAGTACAGGAAGGTGGGCAGGGATGTTAGCTCAGGGCCACTCTTCCTCAGCAAAAAGAGGAGGATTGGCATGGATGTTAGCTCAGGGCTGATCTTCCTCACACACACACACTAAAAAAAAAAAAAGTGTTTGTACTAGTGCCAAGTGCTTAGTAGGTGCTTGATAAATGTTAGCTGTAATTATTCCTTAGAATTTTATTTTTCACTCCCCTTAATGCTGGCAACTTTTCTCCTCTCCCTCCTGTAGGCACTTTCAGTGCCTACAATCCCTTCTGGCAAAAAGGCTGACTCGCAGATGCAATTTGAGAGAAATGGGTTCAGTAGATTCTTCCAGACATAACAAACCAACAGACTTAAAGTGGGAATAGAGAAGTGGGGGCATTAGGACACTGAAGAGAGAGACTTTTGTACCTGTGGCATAGGAGATGCCAGGAAAGAAAAAGGCTTAAGTAAGAAGCCAGGTGCACCCACTTTCCAGTGAACTTGGAGAGAACAAGCAGTGTTCACATGAAAGTCCAGCAATGCCTCAGGACTGCTCTCTGGAACATTCATCAGCTTAATCCAGTGTGCATGGTGTCCCTCCTCTTTTCATTAGCATTTTCCTACTTTGAAATAAGTAGGTGCATTGTTCCTAGAAAGTGGAGAGGTCAAGGGAAACACTCCTTGTGTGGGGGTTGGAGTGGCTGCCACGAGGTTAGTGGCTGCCACGAGGTTATGGACAATGTCTTGCACATCATTCTATCCCTAGCATAGGAGGAGTTAAAAAGCGTTTGTAGAATTATTTTCCAACTTTAGTTGCCCTTCCCAAAGAAGCTTGTCATGACCACACGCGGCCGCAAGCAGGTCCGCGCCTAGAAATAACATTTATTCTAAGGACCTCTGCGCAGGGATTCTTGGGAAGCGGTGCCCCTCCCACATTCCCATGTTACTCCGCCCCTAGGTCGCCTTTGAAAGAACTGGCACGCCACGTGATTCCACCCTTTATCCCGCCTCTGAAAGCCTGGCTGATAATGGGCAGGAGCGTGGGCCAACCATAAAACTTATATTTCCTCTTCCAGCCAATAGAAAGAGGCAATAAGTCTATGGCTCAGCTTCTGTGACTTCCCCGCACCTCCCCCCCCGCCGCCCTCCTCCTCTAAGATTCGACATTTGACAATTCATCCGGCCAATGAGAAGTTCCTGCTCTGTATGGGAGGGATGTGCTGACTGGATGATAGACGTCCCCAGCTGGCCAATGGACTGTCAGAAGTGCGGGAGGGGTGTAGGACGGAACCAATGGCACGGTGCCAATGACGAGCATCAGGGAAAGGGCGGGACGAAACTGTTCGCGGGAGGGAGGGGAGGCCCAGGGAACCAAGCAGCGCTGCCGCTGCCGCCGCCGCCGCTGCAGCCGGAGTTGGAGGAGGGAGAAGCCAGGAAGAAAATGGCGGCCGTGGCTGCAGAGGCGGCAGCGACTGCAGCGTCCCCCGGGGAGGGGGGCGCCGGCGAGGCCGAGCCGGAGATGGAGCCCATCCCCGGCAGCGAGGCCGGCACTGACCCCCTCCCGGTCACGGCCACTGAAGCATCTGTGCCGGACGGCGAGGCCGACGGGCAGCAGTCCTCTCCTCAGGCCGACGAGCCGCCGCTCCCGCCGCCACCGCCGCCGCCGGGGGAGCTCGCACGCAGCCCGGAGGCAGCGGGGCCGGAGCTGGAGGCTGAGGAGAAGCTGCCCGCCCGGGTGGGGGAGCCGGCGGCAGCCGCGCCTCAGGAAGGGCCCGACCCTCCACCTTCCCCTGCCCCACCGCCCGAGCAGCCCCCGGCTCCCGAGGAGCGCCCGCAGCCGCCGCTGCCCCAGCCCGCAGCCCCGGCGCTCGTGCCGCCGGCGGGCGGGGACTCCGTGGTGTCGCAACTGATCCCCGGCTCGGAGGTGCGGGTCACGCTGGACCACATCATTGAGGACGCGCTCGTCGTGTCGTTCCGCCTCGGGGAGAAGCTCTTCTCCGGGGTCCTCATGGATCTGTCCAAAAGGTACCGCGCCCGCCCCCAGCACGCCCCCGGGGCGCCCCGGGCCGCTCGGTCCCCAGGGAGGGAGCGAGCCAGGGCGGCCCC